GAGGCCCGAAACGTCAGCCTCTCTGCTCCTATGATGCTGCTTGGCCTGCTGTGTTCATCCAGCCCTGCACCTTGTTGTCTCGGATTCTCCAGCATCTGCAGTTCCTACTATCTTGGGTGCCAGTGAATGGTGACTTTGTGCACTTTTCACTGTACTTATGTATTCCTATACTTACTGCATGTGACAAATAAATGAAGAAGCTTTCTGCAGTTCCAGTTTATTTGTTGAAATCAGAAGTGACTTAAACCTAATGAGGTGTTAGAGTTGGAGACCCATAGAAGGTGTGTTTTAATTACTGTACTAGAGTTGTTGTTTTACGTTTAAATTTAAAAATGAGCACTTTGTGATTAATGAGATTTTACTTTTACAGTGGGTTTTAAAATCTGAATTTAAAACTATTTATTCTATTTCATCTTCATTTCTTTCATTCATAAACTTCTGTTTTATTGTTAAAACAAAATCTGCAGCATTTCATGCTTATGTTTAAACAACAGACCACTTGTTATAACCAAAACAAATCAAAATTCTTTACAGCATGAAAAGTTGAGAGGGAATCTGTTTGAGACATATAAGGTTATGGAGGCATAATTTTAAGGTGAAGGGCAGAAGGTTTAGAGGAGATGTTTGGAAAAACCCAGAGCGTGCTGGGAATCTGGTACGCACTGCCTGGGAGGTTAGTAGAGGTGGGTAACCTCAAAATCTTTAATAAGTACTTGGATGAGCACTTGAAGCATCAGAACATTCAAAGCTATGGACCAAATGCTGGAAACTGTGATGATTGTAGATAGGACTGTACAGATTTGATAGGCCAAAGGGCCTCTTCTGTACTGGACGAATCTCTGAGTCTAAAATATAATTTATAGGCCAGGTTCCAGTCTGGGATGAAACTTGTCCAGGAATAACATCAGCTGGGATCGTAACAATGTGAGAGAGATGGAGAGAGAGTACATATGTGTGTGAGAGAATCAATGCATGAGTACGTGTGTACTTATAGAAGTCTGTGGATAGACGAGAGTGTAAGTGCATGAGGACAAGTGTGCATGTGAATGAGTGTGTGCATGTGTATGGCTGGGTGTATGTATGTGAGTAGAGTGAATGAGTGTGTGTATGATTGTGAATGTAAATGCATGTATGACAGTGTGTGTGTGTGAATGAAGGTAGGTACAGGTGTGCATGAAATGTGTGTATCTGAGTGTGTGTGTGCAAGAATGCAAGAGTGAGTCAGTGTGTATGTCAGTGAGTGAGTGTGTGTACGTGACTGCACATGGAATGAGTGAGTGAGTATGTTGCCGGCGAGATGTAGCCAGTGTGTTTTCAGTGTTCCCATCGAGTCTTTAGCATCACTGATCAGTCAACAAACACCTACCCAGGGATGCCACCAGCCTCCATCTTGTTTGCCAGTGTGACATCTGTAGACCAGACATCATATTGCCAGTTCTTCTGCCCCAGGACACCACCGAGGACAGTGCCACTGTGAATGCCAACCCGCATATTCACCTCTGTTTTTGTCTTTTCACGAACGTACCTACAACAGAAAAACCTGTCAGAGAGCAGGACAAACAGGAAGTAGACGTGATCTGACCCCCTAAAATAGTGACACACCCACGACCCACACCTTCACAACAGCCGGCACCCAACAAGCCCAGCCAGCAACCCCAGTGTCCAACGCCAAGCTCACAGTACCCAACTCTCAGCACCCAGCATCCACACACAGCACCAAACACCCACCACAATCACTCAACAACCAACACTCACACCCAGATTTTACCATCACCATCCAACAATCAACAGCCAAACACTAGCATCCAGAAACAATACCCAACACTCAGTACCTAATGCCCACACCCAGACTCACCAACCAGCACTCAACACGTCAACTACAAAGTCACAACAACCATTATCCAAAAGTCAGTACCCATCACCCACGCAAAGCACACAGAAGCAAGCACCCAACAACCACCCATTATCAGCATTCAGAACACAAACCCTACACCCACTCAGCACCCACTGTCAGAACCCACTTGCTGTCCCTGTCACCTACACCCTCCTGACCCCATACCCAAAAACCACACAAGCACAGCTCCCTGAAAATGACTCTGCTCTTCAGTGTCCCAGTCAGGATTCTCATTAGCAGGATGCTGTTGAAAGGGGAGTTTCCCCAATGGTGAGTGCTGTTAGCTATTTTGGGCCTCTCAGGGGATTAACATGGTTCACGAATGATGGACAATAAGGAAATGGGAAATGAACTGAACAGATATTTTGTGTCTGGCTTCACTGTAGAGGCATAAATAACATCGCCATGAATAATTGTGAAGTAGTGGCTGTGGGCACAATTACGTTTAAAAGACTGGAAAACTGGAAAGTGTGCAAAGAAGATTTACGAGGACGGTGCCAGGACTAGTAAGCCTGAGTTATAGGGAGAGGATGGCCAGTAATTCCTTGGAACGTAGGAGAATGAGTGGTGACCTTATTGATGTGTATAAAATCATGAGGGGCATAGATAAGATGAATGCATATAGTCTTTTTCCCAGGGATGGGGAATTGAAAACTAGAGGGCATAGGTTTAAGGTGAGAGGGGAAAGATTTAGGAAGGACCTGAGGGGCAACTTCTTCATGCAGACAGTGGTGTGTATATGGAATGGGCTGCCAGAGAAAGTAGAGACAGGTACAATAGCAACATGTGAAAACATTTTGATAGGTACATAGATGAGAAGGGTTTACAGGGATATGGACCAAATGCGGCAATGTGTGTGGGCACCATGGTCAGCATGGGCCAATTTGGGCCGAAGGGCCTGTTTCCACGCTGTATTACTCTCTGACTAGGTCTGACAGCATCTGTGGAGAAAAAAACCAGAGTTAATATTTCGAATCCAAAGAGTCTTCAGAACTGGTTCTGAAGTTCCAAAGAAGAATCAAATTGGAGTTGAAATGTTGACTCTGTTTCTGTCTCCACTGATGTTGCCAAATCTGCTGAGTTTCTCCAGCATTCTCCATGTTTGTTTTCAGTTTAATTTCAGTTCTAGGGGACTTCCAGAAACAATAATTTGATTCAAAATTGTTACCCACAGAGACAAATCTGGGTTATGTGGGTTAGTTAGGGAGAGCCAGTGTGATTTCTGAAGGGAAAAGTGTGTTTCACTAACTTGCTGGAGTTTTCTGAACAAGTAACAAAAAGGCTTGATGAGGGTGACGCTGTTTATGTTGTGTACGTAGATTGCCAAAAGGTGTTAATTCAGTACCACACAACGGACTTGGGACTAAAGTTATAGGTCATGGTGTAAAAGGGACAATTGTAGTGTGGATACAACATTGGCTGTGTGACAGGAAACAAAGAGTAATGGTCAATGGATATTTTTTGGGCTGGAGAAGATTTGTAGTGGAGACTGGGACCCTTGCTTTTTTAGTGATCTGAATCTCGGTGAGCAAGGGACAATTTCAAAGTTTACAGATGACACAAAACATGGAATATTGTAAATTGTGAGGACGATCCGGAGGAGCTCCAAAAGAACATTGAATCATTTTTGGAGTGGGAAAAGTGGTGGTCGGTACCCGATGGTGTTCTGGAACCCCAAGTGTTCCAGAACCTACCAAATTGTACTCACGAGATGGCGTCGACCATAGCCAAGCCCATATGAATGGAGCATGCAGCATGATCATCACGATTGTCTGGTAAGCCACAGATACAGTAGTAACAATCACCCAGGATCTTGATCCGTAGCTGATGGTATTTCTGCGCAAAGTTGGGAGATTGTCATTAGGCAATAAATTACTGTAAGGTTAGGTCATTGATAAAAGTCAGTCATTGGATGTCCATCAAATCCCAGCTTGTACCATGAGCCGCTAGACATTGCCACCAAATACTATACACCAAAAAAATGTCAGTGTTCTCACATTGATTCAGAGTTTGTAGTTACTCTGCAGGGGAGGGAGTTTGATACTAAATTGAAAAAAGACTCCAAGCACATAATCAGGATGAAACATTGCTGTCAAGTTAGTGACTGTGCAGTACAGTGAAGAAAATTATGCATGCAGATTATTAAAGATTATGTGTAACACAGTCTTCAGCTAATGGACTTGGGATCCACACTTGAAACTGGTCAAGTGTGGAACTCTGTTGCCGATTTAAGATTTTACGAGGTGAAGATTGTGAACAGTGAGTGTGCGCATAGTGGGCAAGTGTGCACAGCAGGAAGGTGCATACAGCAGGAGAGTGTGCACAGCGGGGGAGTGTGCACAGTGGGGGAGTGTGCACGGCCAAAGACTGTTCACAGCAGCAAAGTGTGCATGGCGGGAGACTATGCACAGCAGGAGAGTGGGCAGACAGTGAGTGTGCAGAGAGAGAATACATACAATAGAGGTATGCACAATGTAAATGGAGTGACTGATTGAGTGAGTGAGCGAGTGACTGAGCGAGCTCCAAGGACAGACTCACCGCTGCCAGTTTATCAAAGCGAGCGAAGAGTTCATTGAGAAGTTTGACCAGCTCCTGTGCACTGCAGGTGGATGACAACTGAGTGAATCCAACAATATCTGCAAACAGGATGCTGGGGAGAGACAACAACAGGTTTAATACTACGCACAGCGCCCGCTACACACAGCGCCCAGTACGCCCAGCGCCCAGTACGCCCAGCGCCCAGTACGCCCAGCATCCACTACACCCAGCACATGCTACACCCTACACCTTGAGCCCACTACATCCAGCGCCCAGTACACTGAGCATTTGCTGCACCCAGTGATTAATACAGCCAGTGGCCAATACACCCAGCAAACACTACACCTGGTCCCCACTACGTCAGGCACCCTCACCACCCAGCTCTCACCACAGCAGCAGTGTGCATTCATATCTCTTTCACACCCATGTGTGTGCATCTTAGCAATACAGTGAATTGCAGAAATGTCTTCTGAAGGCATGACATAACACCAATTCTTCAAAATCCATCACTGTGCAAAGAACAAAGGCCCCCTCCCTCACTCCCTCCCCATTTCTTGCTGCTCCCCTTTTTCTCACTCCCTTCCTCTCCTTTGCTTGCTTTTTAACTCTCTTTCTAGACTTTTTCTCTCGGGTTCTAACCCGAAACGTCAACATTCCTGCTCCCCTGATGCTGCCTGGCCTGCTGTGTTCCTGCAGCTCCACACTGTGTTATCTCTGACTCCAGCATCGGCAGTTCTTACTGTCTCTTTTTCTCTCTTTGTCTCTTTCTCTCTCTGGTCTCTGCTCTGTACCTGACTCTCTCATGTCGGTACATGTACATGGTGTTGAATTGCTGTAGCTCCTTTGACTCTTTGTCCTTTTTCATGTCGTTTAACATCTCATCTGCAATGTGCTTTGGTAGAATAGACAGAAGGAGACGTTCCTGAGAAAAGAGAAAAGATAGCTCAGATTCTACAATACGATGGTGTAGGGGAGACTCTGAATTTTGTCCCAGAGATAGGTTAGGGGCTGAGGTATTTGAATAATCCAGCCAGCTCGCCAATGCAATGCCAACTTGGAGTGAGGGGGAGCTGGCTATGAGAATCAGATCCCAGGTTCACAGACCAGGCAGTCAAGCCAGGCATGTCTTCAGGCCATATACAGGAGCTATTAATATTTTGCCAACATGGGACTGACCCACACTGACTGTATGGAATCCAGAATCTCACAGTGAAAGGACAAGGCGGCATCACGGTCTCCTCCCATCAGCCAATTATTGAGCTGTAAGTATGAGAAGACCGCAGTCAAAAATATCCTTCTGTAGCTGTCTGGCATCCTAATGGATCCTCAACGATCCCAGCTGATTCCTACAGCAGCTACTATTCATAAGAAAAACAGTCCACCACAAACTGTGTATTCTCTGAATGCGGGGAGAGAGTGCAGAAGAGATTTACAAGAACGGTTCCACGACTCAGAAACTTTCGTGATGAGGCTAGAATGAAGACGCTGAGGCAGTCCTCCTTTGGAGAGTAGAAGATTTAATTGAGATTTTTAATGTGAGCAGGCTGCATAGAGAAGATAGGGAGAAGAGATAGTAGGAACTGCAGATGCTGGAGAATCTGAGATAACAAGGTGTAGAGCTGGATGAACACAGCAGGCCAAGCAGCATCAGAGGAGCAGAAAGGCTGACGTTTCGGGCGTAGACCCTTCTTCAGAAATGGGGGAGGGGAAGGGGGTTCTGAAATAAATAGGGAGAGAGGGGGAGGCAGATAGAAGATGGATAAAGGAGAAGATAGGTGGAGAGGAGACAGACAGGTCAAAGAGGCAGGAATGGAGCCAGTAAAGGTGAATGTAGGTGGGGAGGTAAGGAGGAGATACGTCAGTCCAGGGAGGACGGATAGGTCAAGGGGCGGGATGAGGTTAGTAGGTAGGAGATGGGGGTGCGGCTTGAGGTGGGAGGAGGGGATAGGTGGGAGGAAGAACAGGTTAGGGAGGCGGGGACGAGCTGGGCTGGTTTTGGGATGCGATCAGGGGAGGGGAGATTTTGAAGCTTGTGAAATCCACATTGATACCATTGGGCTGCAGGGTTCCCAAGCAAAATATGAGGTGCTGTTCCTGCAACCTTCAGGTGGCACCATTGTGGCACTGCATGAGGCCCAGGATGGACATGTCGTCTGCGGAATGGGAGGGGGAGTTGAAATGGTTCGCGACTGGGAGGTGCAGTTGTTTAGTGCGAACCGAGCGTAGGTGTTCTGCAAAGCGGTCCCCAAGCCTCCGCTTGGTTTCCCCGATGTAGAGGAGGCCACAACGAGAACAGCGGATGCAGTATACCACAGTGGCAGATCTGCAGGTGAACATCTGCTTGATGTGGAAAGTCTTCTTGGGACCTGGGATGGGGGTGAGGGAGGAGGTATGGGGGCAGGTGTAGCACTTCCTGCGGTTGCAGGGAAAAGTGCCGGGTGTGGTGGGGCTGGAGGGGAGTGTGGAGCGGACAAGGGAGTCACGGAGAGAGTGGTCCCTCCGGGAAAGCAGATACGGGTGGGGAGGGAAAAATGTCTCTGGTGGTGGCGTCGGATTGCAGATGGCGGAAGTGTCGGAGGATGATGCGTTGGATCCGGAGGTTGGTGGGGTGATAAGTGAGGACGACGGGGATTCTGTTTTGGTTGTCATTGCGGGGAGGGGGTGTGAGGGATGAGTTGTGGGAAATGCTGGAGACACGGTCGAGGGTGTTCTTGACCAGAGGGGGGGGAAGTTGCGGTCCTTGAAAAACGAGGACATCTGAGATGTACGGGAGTGGAATGCCTCATCCTGGGAGCAGATGCGGCGGAGGCGAAGGAATTGGGGATGGCATTTTTGCAGGAAGGTGGGTGGGAGGAGGTGTATTCTAGGTAGCTGTGGGAGTCGGTGGGCTTGAAATGGATATCGGTTTCTGGGTGGTTGCCGGAGATGGAGACAGAGAGATCCAGGAAGGAGAGAGAGGTATTAGGGATGGTCCAGGTGAACTTAAGGTTGGGGTGGAAGGTGTTGGTGAAGTGGATGAACTGTTCGAGCTCCTCATGGGAGTACGAGGCGGCGCTGATATAGTCATCAATGTAATGGAGGAAGAGGTGGGGTTTAGGGCCAGCGTAGGTACGGAATCCCTCTTGATAATACTGATAATACTGAAGTCTCTGGAGCACACCATGTAAACAGGACAGGTAACTGAGGGAATAACTTTACAGAAGGTTGAACAAAGCTTTAATAAGGCAGAATAAAACTCCCTTGACTGGTAACCAAACAATAAAGAGTGAGACCATAGGGAGACTACAGCTCAGTTACCAGGGAAAATAAGTAATGTTACTAACACCATTAGAACAAGTATGTCCAAACATCTAATGAGTTGAGGTGATACACTTGATGGGCTCAGTGTAAAAGGAGCTTTCCTCTGAATCTAACCCTGTGCTGTACGTGTCCTGGGAGTGTTTATTGGTACTTTCTGTGGTGGTTCTATTGTGAGGGGTATGAATTGCAAGGAATTGCTGTGGCAGGGAATGTTTTATTTTTTGTAAGTAGGGATACTCATTGGATATTGACGATGACACTAAAGTTAAAAAATGAAACAGCAGAAAAATTGGCTCTATCAGTCAGGAAATTGTGCAAACAAGGCCATGGTTTCAGAATAATAAGGTGCAGTATTCAGTGATTAAAAGGAACTTGTACATATGGAGTAAAGAAAATATGGAATGTCTTATATTATTATGGAACAGGAATTACAAAATTGTCTGGAGAAAAGAGTTAACTTGTGGAATGGGCAGGAAATTGGGTTTATGTGGGGGGAAGTGAAGATATTGGCATTGGCTTGTGGAATACAAAATAACGAAAGTTTGTAAGACTCAAGCCTGGGATAATCGTGTGGTAATATTTCTTCATGTTCTGCTGTCCTAAGCCAAGAGTTAGACAGTGCACGATACTGTCACAACCCTAACCAGTCTCCCTCACCTGCTGTTGGCTCTGTTCCTCCAGGTTGAGTTTAACCTCCAGAGATTGTCGTGTCTCCAGAAATGCTTTGCGATGTTTGCGATCTGCCATGTAGTAAGACATGATCCCCACAGTGATGGCACAGAGGTAGATACTGACGTTAGCTAATAGCTAGCAGAGAAAAAAATACACGAGATGACTAATGAACTGATTGAAATGTTGCTGAAATACATGAGATTTATGACCATTGTCCATCTATTGGTAATCAATGGCCATTTAATCAATAATTATGATAATGATTAGTTAGTCATTGGCTAATCATTGGACAACAATCATTGATCAATCATTGGATGATTAACAGAGAATTACTTGAATTATAGACTAGCTATAACAAGCTATTTTGGCACTGTTAGAGTGTCCCTGCCTCTGGGCCATGCAGGCCTAAGTTCAAATCCCACTTGTAACATAGGTGTGTCATAACATCATTGACCAGGTTGATTAAAATCACCATAGAACAGTTATATCCTAGGAAGAGAGCATTTGGCCAGTGTGTTTGTACTGACTCTTTGCAAGATCAGCTTGCCCCTTTCCCCATCATCCTGCAAATGATTTCCCATCAGTTAATTATCCAATTGCCTCTAGAAGTCATAACTAAATGTTCTTCCATTATAGTTTCAGGCAGCACATTCCAAATCTTAATCAATTGCTGCATGAAAAAAATGTTCTTTCCCAATCATCTTAAATCTGTATCCCCTTTTTCTTATTCCTCCCACAAATGGGAACAGTTTTGTCCTATCAACAGTTTCTAGACCCCTCATGAACATCTCAATCAAATCCCCTTTCAGCCTTCTCTTCACCTCTCCAATCTACATGTATAACTGAAGTGTCTTATCCCTGGAAACATTCTCATCAACCTCTACCACACTCCCTCTCACGTCTTCACATCCTTCCTAAAATATGATGCCCAGTTTGGACACAATCTCCCAAGTGTGGCCAAACCATAGTTTCAGAAATGTAGAACCTTATTTTGATTGCTTCTCTATGTCTTACTAATTGCTTTTCCAATCTGCCCTTCCAACATACATGATTGGTGTGTGTATATAGGACCAGGTCTTACTGCTCTAGTGTCCCCTTTAGAACCGTACCCTTTATTTTATATTATCTTGTCCTTAGGAAGTCAATAACAAAAGATTTAGGTGCTGTATGGACCATTCACTAAGATCATGGCTGATCTGGTTGTGACCTGAACTCCAGATTCCTGCCTGTCCCCATCATCTTTAACTCTCTTGATTTCCTAATTAAACGTACCACTTCAAACTTCTCTACATTTAGTTTAATCTGTTAGGTCCATTAGCCTGTCGATGTGCTCTTGAAGCATATAGCTATCCTCCTCACAGTTCACAATACTTCCAAATTTTGCATCATTTGGAAGTTTTATATGGTGCCCTGCATGCCCTCGGTCATTAATAAAAATTAAGAAAAGCAACAGCCCTAATAGGATCCCTGGGGAAGCCCAAAATATACCTCCCTCAAGTCTGAAAAACACTGATAACTGGAAATTTATCATGGAGTTTTCTCTGTTTTTTTTTTCATTCTCTGGATGTGGATGTCGTTGATTATACGAGCTTTTATTGCCTTTCCCCAATTTCCCAGAGTCCAGTTCAGAATCAACCAATTACTGCAATCACATGTAACCAGACCAGGTAGGGACAGCAGGTAGCCATCCCTAAAGGACATTAGTGAACCAGATGGGTTTTTACAACACTCAACAATGGTTTCACGGTCATTATTTATTACTGATATGTTATTGAATTCAAATTCTACCATCTGCCATGGCAGGATTTGAACCCGCATCCCCAGACTATTATCTGTGTCTCTGAATTAATAATCGAGCAATAATACCATCAGGCTATTACCTCCCTCAAATAAATACTCTAATATTGCAATTGTGAAACAATATGCACTACAGTGGCTAAGAACTCCTCGGACTTTGATTCATATAGAGTTTCAAGTATTCCTGTCTTGTGAAATTTGACTTGGACTAGTGCTGAGCTTTTATTCAACTCAACCTAAACCTCACCTAACTCAGTACTTCATGTAATCTGTTTCTTTCTAGTTGATATGAAAAATGGTGAGAGGATGTGTTACTGTTCTTGAGGAAGCTCTTCCAAGACTGGGCTCAGGCATATTTTTTGGGCAGAGCCAATGGAACTTTCCTCTGTACTGTCTCTATTCCATTTTTACATATCCAGGAACATCAGCATTGACCACGTTGCAACCAGCAGTTTTTGGGCCTTCTTCAGGGAATTACTTTTGCTCTTTGATCATGTTATTTTGCAATTAAGCCTTATACTTGACTTCAGTATAATAAAACAAAGAACTTCAGATGCTGGTAATCTGGAACAAAACCAAAAATTGCTGGAGAAACTCAGCAGATCTGACAGTATCTGTGGAAAGAAAGTACTGTTAACATTTCAGGCCCACTGACCCTTTTTCAGGTCTGAAACGTTAACCTGCCCCACAGATGATGGCAGATCTGTTCAGCTTCTCCAGCAATTTCTGCTTTTGTACCTGACTCCAATGATGGCCTGATTCAATTTTTCAATTTAAATTAGCTGGTCTCCTCTGCAGGTTCTGAGTGGCCCCTAAAATATGTAGCTGATGTTTTTACTCTCCTTTCCCTGTAGCATAAATATTTAGAACTTGCTTAAAAGGCAGAGTGAGAACCCAAAGTGTAAAACCATAGTGTGAATCCGTTGAGATTTCACAGCAAAACCTCACTACCAGAGCCAGTGGTGAACCAACGGCAACCAGACTGACAGAAACAAGCTGATGCTGGAAGATGCCATGAATGATAGTGCCCATTCTGTCGGGCCAGCCTTCTCTGGGTGATCAAAACAGATACAAGGCAAAATGAAAGGACAGATTATTAAACTATTCTGACATCACTGAGCCATTGATTTCTCAGCTGGTTATTCACTGAACCCACCATTCTAACCATGGCACTGCAGGAGAAATCTATTTTACAGATAAACCCCTCAATTAAATTCCAGTTTGTAACTATCAAATCATACAGTACGGAAGCGGCCTATTGTATCTGTAACACCAAAAATACATTAAATCTTTTTCCATTACTTGGCCCATAATCTTGAAGGTTATGACATTTCAGCGCACGTCCAAATACGTTTTAGTTGTGAGGTTCCCCCCTCAACTACTCTCACAGGCAGTACATCCCAGATCCCTATGACCTTCTGGGTGAAAAGAGTTTTCCTCATAACCCCTCCAAACCTCCTGCTTTTCACCTTAAGTGTCTGCCCCATGTTACTGACCTTTCAGCTGAGGGGAAAAACTAATTTTTATTCACCCTCTCCCTTCCTCTTTTACACCTCCATCACAAAGCCTCCTAAATGTTCTCTACCCCAAAGAAAATAATTTGAGCTTTTCCAGGTTCTCGTCGTAACTAAGATGCTCCATTGCAGACTCCAGACACGCTCTCGTGTATCTAGTATTCTAAATGGGGGAGGTGATGGCCTAGTGGTGTTATCTCTAGACTATTAATCCAGTAACCCAGGTAATATTCTGGGGGCCCCCAGGTTCAAGTCCACCCCCATAGAACACAGAACAGTACAGCACAGTACAGGCCCTTCGGCCCACGATGTTGTGCCAAACTTTTACCCAAAACCTAAGGTCTACCTAACCTCCACCGCTACCTTATACTATGATCCATATGCCTATCTAATAGCCGCTTAAATGCCCCTAATGAGGCCGACTCCACTACGCTCTCCGGCAATGCATTCCATGCCCCTACCACTCTCTGAGTAAAGAACGTAACTTCTGACGCCTCCCTATCTACCTCCTTTCACTTTAAAACTGTGTCCCCTTGTAAAAGCTACCACCACCCGAGGAAAAAGTCTCTGGCTGTCTACTCTATCTATACCTCTGATCATTTTGTACACCTCTATCAAGTTACCTCTCATCCTTCATCATTCTAAAGAGAAAAGCCCTAGCTCTCTCAACATTTCCTCGTAAGACCTTCCCTCCATTCCAGGCGACATCCTGGTAAATCTCCTCTGCACCTTTTCTAATGCTTCCACATCTTTCCTGTAATGAGGTGACCAGAACTGGACACAATACTCCAGATGTGGCCGAACCAGGCTTTTGGAAAGCTGGAGCATAACTTCACGGCTCTTGAACTCAATCCCTCTATTAATGAAAGCTAACACACCATACGCCTTCTTAACAACTCTATCCACCTGGGTGGCAGCTTTCAGGGAACTGTGGACATAGAATCCTTGGATAAATCCCATCAGGCCTGGGGGACTTATCTATCTTCAACTTCCTCAGAATTCCTAGCACATCTTCTTTACTAACATCAACTTTCTCTCGCCTACCTGCCTGTTTCACACTGTCCTCCTCTACAACTAGGTCCCTCTGAGTTGTGAATACTGAAGAAAAGTATTCATTAAGGACCTCTCCTATCTCTTTAGGCTCTGTGAACAAATTCCCTTTACAATTCTTGATCAGCCCTACCCTTTCTCTGGTCATTCTCTTGTTCTGTACATACGTGTAAAAAGCCTTGGAGTTTTCCTTGATCCTATCCGCCAAGGTTTTCTCATGCCCCCTTATAGCTCTCCTAAGCCCTTTCTTCAGCTCCTTCCAGGATAACTTGTATCCCTCTAGAGCCTTTTCCGTTCCTCTTCTCCTAAACCTTACATAAGCCTCCTTCTTCCTCTTAACCAGTTGTTCGACCTCTCTCGAGAACCATGGCTCCCTCACTCGACTGCATCTTCCCTGCCTGCTAGGGACAAACATATCGAGCACACGCAGTATGCATTCCTTAAACAATCTCCACATTTCTGTGGTGCTCTTCCCTGACAGCATCTGTTCCCAATTTATGTTACCCAGTTCTTGCCTAACAGAACTTTAATTACCCTTCCCCCAATTATAAACCTTACCCTGCTGTATGTACCTATCCTTATCCATGACTATCGTGAAAGAAACAGAGTTATGATCGCTACTGCCAAAATGCTCTCCTACCAACAGGTCTAACACTTGGCCCGGTTCATTGCTAAGCACCAAATCCATAGTGGCCTCTCCTCGTGTTGGTCTATCCACATACTGTGTCAGGAATCCTTCCTGAACGCACTGGACAAAATCCGCTCCATCTAAAC